CGGTTGCCAGTGAGTTTATCAGAAGAATACCCGGCTACAGTACACGTTAGTTGAGCGCTGTCACTCTGCGTCACTTGTTTATTTTGTCTGTGCTGATATCCCAAGTTGCACGCCTGAGGGTCTGTGTGCTTTTGTCAAGGGAACAAATCATCTGTATCCTGTGAGTCATTACGAGTTTTGTGCTGGGGCTGATAATAAAATCTGTGTTGTTACGTTTAGGATGCAGATAATCTGTAACCCGTGTAAAATTCGAAGGTTTGCGCTGGCTGTGCGTAAACTCTCTGTGTTGGTTATGTTTAGGTGGCACATCATCTGGAACCCGTGTAACATTTCAACATTTGTGCGTGCTGTGCGTAAAATGTCAGCGTTGTTAACATTTAGAGAACAGATCATCTGTAACCCACGTGTAACATTTTAACGTTTTTCACTCCGCATCCGTAAATTCTCTGCATTGGTTACGTTTAGAGGACAGATCATCTGTGACCCGTGAAACATTTCAACGTTCTCGCTCGCTGTGCGTAAATCCTCTGCGTTGGTTACATTTAGGGGACAGATCATCTGTAACCTTGGCGACATCCTGAGCAGCGAGCTGGGCGTCTGCCTGCCCATCTTTCTCGAGCGCTTGAAGAACGAGATCACGCGCCTGACGACCGTCAAGGCTCTCACGAAGATCGCCGGATCGCCGTTGAAGATCGATCTACGACCGATTCTGGTGAGCGCTCGCGCCGGAGGTCGAGAGCTCGCGGCAAAAAAATATACGGAGGTGATGGGGTGATTCACCCTCCTCCCGCCTCCGCACGTACCCATCAAAATCTTCTTAAAACACGCAACGAGAGCGAAGCGATAGATGCTATAATTATTTATATACGAAAGTAATTTCGCTTTTAATAATCGAGCGTGTAACTGTGTGTCATCACATAGCATGTGCATGTCAAGTATGATGCCACGTGCGTATTAGCATACAGTGCACAGAATTTCATGGGTACAATACGGGTAAAGTCGGGGGGGGGGGCAACAGAAATGTAAACATAAAATGGCTTTTGTCAAATCCACAAAAGCCCCCTAAAAATATTTAATAGGGGACGTTTTTAAAATTTTTCAAAAGTACCTTTAATGAAATTGGTGACTTTTCACACTGGTGTGATGGGTCGCCTGCATTGCCAAATGCTCGATTGATCCTTCTTACATGGTATTGAGTACATGTCAAGTACCCAGGGCGTGACTGTTCTGATATTCATGGCATGCATGCAAGACGTTCTCTTGTTTGCTAGAAGTGACCATGCAATACTCACATTGTTACTGAGGAACAATCATGGTGTATGTGCGAAACGTTCTCATGTTTGCAGGGCGTGGCCATGCCGATATTTGATTTATTCCTAAGGAACAGTTGTGTTGTACGTACGAGATGTTCTCTTGTTTGCAAGAAGTGACCATGCAATACTCACATTGTTAATGAGGAACAATCATGGCGTATGTGCGAAACATTCTCATGTTTGCAGGGCGTGGCCGTGAAGAACCACCGCGCGCTGAAGCTGAGCATGCTCACCTGCCTTGACGTTCTCTTGTTTTTGTAGGGCGAGGCCGTGCCAATACTCGCGTCGTTCCTGCGTAAGAACCACCGCGCGCTCAAGCTGAGCACGCTCACTTGTCTCGACGTTCTCGTGCAGAACTACGGCGGCGCCCTCACACCGCACATGATGGAGAACACGATGAGCGAGCTGCCGCCGCTCGTCAACGAGAGCGACCTTCACATCTCGCAGGTGAAGGTCGGCGGCGGCAGTCTAGATCGGATGCGACCCGCTGCGCATTCGACGCGCGGGTGCGCGTCTCACGACGAGGGCGGGTTGTCGTCGCTGTTGCTATTGGTCGCGCTAAAGTTTGCGCAGCGCTTTTGCGCGTTAGAGCGTTCCGAGTTTGCCATTAGTTTTTCGCACTTTTTTGTGGCGTCGCCGTTTCGATGCGGGGGGAGTAAGTTATTGTGTCAGTGAGGCTAAGTGAGTGACTCCACAGTTGTTCCCCATCGAGGTAAAGTTTGTTGCTCATCGCTGTTGATTGTTGCATGGTGTCAAGCTTAGATTTGAATTTCGCACTCGTAATTAATTTAAAGTATTGAAAATTGTCTCGGCTTTGGTCATTGCAGTTAACACTGACCCTGCTAACGTCGTTGTGTGCCATCCACCCGTCATCCATGACTAATATCTCGGATGCTATACTACCAGAGATCATGGTGCTGGTGCGATCTCCACTGCTGCAGGGTTCGTGCAACACACATATGTTGACATTTAAAAAGAGAGAGAGAAGGAACAAGATGGACAAAGAGAGTGAGAGCAGGAGCGAGAGAGAAAGAGAGAGAGAGAGCGCGAAAGAGAGGAGAGAGTGGAGAAAGAGAGGAGAGAGAGAAGAAGGAGAGAGAAGGAAATGGGGAAAAGAGATTTTTCTTTCACAAGCTATACTTATGGGTAGGATTATTGCAGGTGGAGCCTTGACTGCTTTGCTGGAACTGTTTCGCAACCTGGTGGCCACCGGACTGCCACAAGTTGCATTCCGGGAGCTGCTGCAGATGTTGACTGCCCCCATCTACAACCCCAGCCCACAGACCCAGCCTCTGACATCAGCATTTGCAGTACACAAACAGGCAAGCACTGTCTAAACTGCTCTTTACAACAAAGCAAACAGTTTCAGCAGCAGATTCTACCATCACATTACTGTTTTATTTATATTATTTATCTTCATCGTATTTTGAATTAATCAGTTATTGAATCGTTACATTTTTTTTTAAATTGTATGATAATTCTTAGAAGAAATACATATGTGAGGATTGTCTATGTAAACATCATTCACATTCCATTAACATTTTACTGAATGAAAATTGGTTGACGTTGCACATATGTAAGACTGCCCTACAAGGTGTGTAATTCTTCTTCATGTTCCTCATTCTGGCATTTACTTCCCGTTTACACAGCAAGCTGCCTTTCTTTTTGAAATGTTAATTCTCATCTTTTTTACGTGTTTGGAATAATCTTACTCGTTTCAGGCGTTCCACTCGATTGCCAAATGCGTAGCAACGCTGACACTCGTGTGTCCGCAGGAAGGCGCCTCTGTCATTCACCAGTTTGTCAACGATGTAAAGGTACAGTGGGGCACACCAGCTGTTTTAAACTGAAGATGTGCTTAGCGTAACTTCCAAAATCCTGTCAAAAAAGCTTTTATGACACGTCAAAACAGCATGTGTTGTATAGCCAAGCTGAGAGTAGAAAATGAAGATGGCTGTTACTACATGAGAAGTGTTGCGCGCCGCTTTTGCCGATTGTACACGTCCCTTTTGGTGTTGTAACGTTTCCCTTTCTTTACTTTATCATTTCCCTTTTAGTTATGTTTTCCTTGCATGATCCCCGATAATCGTGAATTGTGTAATGCCGCAATAACCCCTCCGGTCGTTACCACCGGTCTAAGATTCGATCACTGGATTGTGAATGATTGAACCGCTATGTGGTGTGTGGTGCGAACGAGGAAGACAATGATTCGACAATGGAGATGAATTCATTTATGCATCGGCCATTCAACCAACACGCTTAATCAAAGAAGAAACATCAGACTAAATACACTTATATGTTGGCGCGGATCGGCTCTATAATATAGGTACTTGTATCTTACAGAGTAGCAAGTCGACGGACTCTGTTCGCCTGTTTGCTATGCTGGCTTTGGGTGAAATAGGAAAACACGAGTGAGTAATCCTTGATATTTTGGTCGTTGATTGATTTAATCTTCCTTGAAGGTTTGTGCATTGCCATGAAGCACAATAGTCGCTGGTACAATAATTAAATTGAAAATTCTTGAGTTTGTTTATTTGGGAAGAACGTAAAATCGAGTGGAACTGTTGCTCGTCACATTTTTTGAGGAGTTACGTGGTCGATGGATGCCTCTCTGTTTGTATTGATTTCTCACTGTACCTATATCCATAGTGAATTTTTTTCATCACAGGGACCTGAGTGGACAGCCAGAGCTGAAGGAGGTTTTACTAAATGCATTCAACTCACACAATGAAGAGGTGAAATCAGCTGCATCTTATGCACTAGGTATGGACTGGAACAACTAAAGCAGAGAGTCTGAATAAAGCAATCACGGTCTCTACAGATAATGTCCGATGCTTGTCTAAAGTCTAATCTAAACCGATCTGAATTCTCTCATGCAGTACAGCATGCAAATCTGATGTAATGTCTGGGTGACAGTCTGATATGTAAATCTAGCATGGTGTGTCATTCTTTGATATATTAGTGTGTGACAGTCTGATATGGAAATCTATAATGACCTGCCAATTTATCACGCTTTGTGTACATATATTGGCATAGGGGCAACACCTAAAGCTGTAGGAAGTCTATACCACCACCCTACCCCCACTCGTCCACTCTACCATTCCACCAGCCGTTATTTCGTTTGCTTTGCAGCCCGATAGGACTACTGCAGGGGCAGGTGCCGGCGATAGTTAAGGCACTTCACAGACAGCTGAAGGAGAAGAGTGTGAAGACTCGGCAAGGCTGCCTCGCTCTGCTGACAGAGCTGGTGACCGTGCTTCCCGGCGCCCTCACTGAAAACGTCCCACTGCTTATCCCCGGCATCATCTTCTGTCTCGGGTACGAATGCGAGCGACATGTGGCGCCATCTGTCGGCGTCATAAACGAAAGATTTTCCATAGAAGTTTTTTTCTACGTGGCTTGACGTATCTCTGGAACTATATACGTATGCTGTAATAAAAACGCTTGCGTGATACTACTGGTTCAAATATTTTAGAAGAACGTGAGCATTACGTGGCTCCATCTGTGGGCTATATAAACAAAATCTTTCCAGAAAAACATTTCTCTACATCGTAGCTGTCGTTAGAATTGTACGCGAGAATGGTAATAAACACTGTACATTCTCCAGGTATAAAAACTCGAGTTCTAACATGAAGATCGACACGTTGGCGTTTCTAAACTGTGTCATGGCGGCACACTCGCCAGAAGTTTTCCATCCACACATCAACATTCTCGTTCCGGTGAGTTGGTAATCGATTGTGGGATGCGTGCACTGTCCATGACAAAATGTAATAGTAGTAGTACTTGTCGTGGTGGTAGTCATAGTTGTGGTGGTAGTAGTAGTGGTGATAGTTGTAGTTGTAGTACTTAGTGGTTGTAAACAAAAAGAAGAAGAAGAAGAAGCAGCAGCAGCAATTATTGTTACAAAATTGTTGATATTTTTATGGTGACAGCAATAAAATGGTGAAAACCAAAACCATGGCAGAGTGGGCACAGATGCCTGACAACTACTTTGTGATTATTAGCAATTCTTCTTATCATTAATTATTATTATTGTTATTATTATTATTATTATTATTTTTATTTAACATCACCTCTATAGTTCTATGTTCCATTTTTATAGAAAGAGCTAATCAGGGAAGTGGAAATGGGTCCATTCAAACACACAGTAGATGATGGACTAGACATACGAAAGGTAGGACGTCAATCCAACCATAAGCAATTTCAGTATTATGCATTTGTATTAGTATTCTTATATTATTTTCATAAGTCTTCAGATTTAGAAGAGAGAGGTTGGATAAGTATATAAGAATAACGATATATATATATATATATGTACAGTGGAACCCCCCGGATTTTACGCGCCCCGATTTAACGTGAATTTGAATATAACGCGATGAGTCGTTGGACCCCCTTTATTTGCTCTTATATAGCTACGTATATATAACCTCGATTTAGTGCGACATCGCGATGACATTTTATGGACCCCAACCATTGCGTTATAACAGGGCTACACTGTATATATATATATATACTGGTCACATATATGTAATTCAATCAGAGATTATATCAGATTCAAATCTTCATTCCGAACTGTGGAAACTGCCGAGTCATCAAATTGCAGATTAGTGATCATGAGGTTCAAGCCATGTAGGAATTTCCAAACTCGATTTGCTTTCATCATGTTGAAATCAATTTTGCTGAAATAATTTTACGAATAATTTGATGAATAATAAGTTTTTTCTCAGTCATGTACACGTGGACAAATAGCTGTTGCATTACCTAGCTAGTATGGTATGTAGTAAGTATGGTGTGCCCATGTTACTGACATTGCAGAATGGCAAAGCAGCAAGGTTCTCAGTTGGGTTTCTTCCTTCTGTTCACACAGGCAGCATTTGAGTGCATGTACACCCTTCTGGACACATGTCTGGACAGGTTGGATCTGTTCGAATTCTTAAATCACGTTGAGGACGGCCTAAAAGACCACTACGACATCAAAATGCTCACATATCTGATGCTGGTGCGACTGGCCTCTCTTTGCCCCAGTGTTACGCTGCAGAGTGAGTACCAAGTTCGCCTCTGGCTTAGCGCGAGATGTGCCAACTTATATTCTGAGCATGTTGAGAAAATCTGCGCCGCGATTGCAGCTGACTCCAGATAACGATGTATATTAGCCAAATATAACCATTTTTGGTAGATATTCGAATTTCCTTTATACCTGGCATGATTTACAGGCAGCTGTTGCCAATCGATGATGCTATAAAACATTATAAAAGTAATGCTTAAGCTGGGTCTACACTACCGACTTTATGTTGGCGAATTAGACCAACTTCCCAACTATACAACCGACAATCGGCAGTGTAAAAGCGAAAGTCGGGCGAGCAACTGGTCGATAGCAACCAGTTGGGAGATTAGAACATGTTCTATTTTTGCCAACTCGGAGTTGCCGACTTGAGAAATTGGTCCAACTCACCAATTTGACAACATGAAGTTGGTTGTGTAGAGCACCACAACGTAATTTGAGCACCAAAAATTTGAAATTTACACGCTTACACGTACTCATATAAACTGGGTGGTGTCTTGTTGTATAAACTGGGTGGGTGGGGTCTTGATCGGCCGAGCAACAATGTGCAGGGCAGGGGGGGGGCATCGTTATCTCGCACGTGCAGATTGTAGATCCATTCGGTAACGTCTCGGCGAATGCTTTCAGGAGTCGACAGGCTAGTGGAACCTCTGAAGAACACCTGCCTTGCGAAGGTGAAAGCCAACTCCGTGAAGCAGGAGTATGAGAAGCAGGACGAGCTGAAGAGGTCGGCTCTACGTGCCGTGGCTGCACTCCTGGGCATACCGGACGCAGGTGGGTGGTGACATACCAGCCTTATCACATCACATTCACATGTGCCCGAGCGTGCATATTCAATGATGCGCCGGACACTTAATCGATATTAATATTGGCCTAAAAATTGGAAATTGTGTGTATATGGCAATACAACCTTGTTGGACATTGCATATTCAACGATGCACCGGAGACTTAAGGATACATTCAGGGTTGTAGGTGAAATTTGGTCAAAATTTCAATACCCATTTTATTTGATAGATGGCACCTCTATGCATCTGGCAGCTATGTCTGTGTAGACTATTATGTACGTGGTCTCCCAAACAGTTCAAAATCCCTGTGTATATTTACCTGACTATTGCAAACCCCAGCACGCCCTTTAAAATGGTACGTCATTAGCACGTTCTTTCCCAGAATGTACTGTGTTCCACCCCAGCATACGAATCGGAAACTTGTAAACAGTTTACAGCTGTTTTGAACACACTGTTGCTGCGCACGTTTGATTGCATAGAGATGATGATGTCAGAGCATGCATTAATTAGTATTTGGTGAATGGATGATTGAAACAGATCAGTTATTTCTTCAAGTTACTTATAACAACATGACTTTTTATAAAGTTTGTTGATGGTAATCGGCCTGAGATAAGTCACAGTGGGTACTAACAGTAGCAATTGTACATACCTTAGTCAATTCTAAACACAGTTCAATCATCGTAATATGTAGAAAATCGTGAATATCGTCGTTGTTAGTAATGCTGCAGTCCTGCAATAATTGATAATGTTTCAATACTGATTTCTCGGAACTCACAACTCCAATTCCAAAAATGTTGTTTTCGTTTTAATGCTAACACATTAATGGAGTAAAGAGTCTCTGGATTTCTTAAGAAAGATTTTATTTTAGAAGTTTTGGCTCTTTATTTACGTTATTGTTGTGTCATAAAAAAATATTACAGATTTTTGTGCATATTATTTCCTAAAATAAAACATTAAAAAAAATTCCAGGGACCCTTTATATTTACTAGTGCATACTATGAACAACGTATGGCTAAATGATTAGGCTCCAACCCTTCGCTGTTTCTGAGAAATGTGGAAAAAAAAACATTTTTTCATATAAATTTACAATATATGCTGTCGCGTAATTAGTGAACTGATGAAGTTTCTGTGATAAATTTCACGGAGAGCGTAGAGAGACACTCTTTTATTAAATAGATATGTGTGTGATTGGATTTGATGAGCAGTTATGTTGTAATGCCCTTTACAGTGGTACCTGTCCATAACCCTGACTGTAGCCTTAAAGGGACAGTATAGCCTCTAGGATTTTACTGCATACAACTGTACTTACTGTATAACAAATCGTCTATACCCACACGTATTTGTTACCAGATTCCTAATTTAATTGTTATAATTAATTACACATCAATGCTACGAAATTTGAACGGCACCATGACACCCGCGACCGTGCTGCCACCCCGAAAAATTTGCGTATTTGACAATTTATTTTGCACGTTACAGACCGAGGGCTAATCACAAAAGTGCAATTATATTTATACCTAAATGCTATTTAACCGAACGATATTCATTTTAGGGCAAATTTATCCATATTATAACTGAAACTATATGTCGTTTATAAGATATTACAATCCTTTTGCTTTTAAATGAATAAATAAGAAACACCCTCGGTCTGTAGCCCCTGGCTGGAAAGTGGTTTTGCGCAACTTATCAGATCGTGTGCTTTGAGTGGCGCCACCGTCGTTGTAATCAAACTCTAGTCGTTAGTTTTAAAACATTTTTTTTAAATATTTCTAATGGTGATTGAACCATGAAACTTTTTATGTAGCGTAATTATAACCTAAATTAGCTGAAAATAACCCTAGAACCTAGAGTAAACTCTCCCTTTAATTAATATGAATATATGCCTAAGAATTTGAAATGCTTGTATGCACATCGAAGATTCAACAATGCACTGGAAACTTAATTGCCTGAAAATTGCAAACAGCAGGTGTTTGATCGTTTAGCATTTAGCCATTTAGCCTTGCGCCACCTCGCATTTTAAACAATGCACTGAACACATAATTGATATTAATATACGCCTGAAAATTGGAAATAGCATGTGTATTCGTCCTTGGTGCACCTCGCATTTTCAACAATGCACTAAACACTAAATTGATATTAATATATGCCTGAAAATTGCAAATACTATACGCTGTATATTTCACAGTGGTTTAATTTTCGTGAATTTCACTAAACCCTCCCCCCGAATAATACTGAATAATTCATAATTCACCAACCGCGAAATTAATATAACCACTTGCGAAATTGTCAATCAAGTCTGAATTCGCGAAAATATCTGTACGCGAAAAATATGGCGTATACAGTAGCATGTGTATTCATCCTTGATGCACATCGCGCATTCGCCAATGCACCGGACACGTAATCCAATATTAATATATGCCTGAAAATCGGAAACACTGCGTGTATCATGTATGTATGTGACAGTGTGTTCTTGACACACGTCGCGCTTTTTTTTTCGTCCGCAGACAAGAATCCGCTGATGAGTGACTTCCTCGCACAGATCAAGTCGAACGCCGAGCTGTCGACAATGTTTGACAGCATCCAGAAAGACGTGTGCGCCGTTGCCTCGGAAACGTCGCTCATGGACCTCAGCTAGGTGGCGCCACCTCCATGAGCGCGTTGGGAGTGTCAGTGGTGTGCGACAACGAGCGGCCCAGTGGTTACGCTCAACGTCGCCGTGCCTGCCGGTGAGTCAGCAGCCGGGACGAGGCGGAGATGCGGTGGTGCCACCTACGACAATTCGTTCGCTGGGGCGACGGTTGTCGGGCAGTGTGGGTGACTAACTGGTGTCCCGAATCTATGTATGCTTAGGCTCATGCTCGCGTGGATTGTGTGGATAACCACGCGCCACGAAATTCTTGTGGCTTTTTGTTGAGTTGATAAGTTGATAACCATGTTTTATGTATGAATTTATGTATGTATGTGTGTGTGTGTATATATGTGTATATCTATATATCTATATATATATATATATACATGCATACATTCACATAACCTATATATATACATATATATATATATAACATAACCTTCCTTAGGGTCATTATGAAATATGCTTGGTTTTCCAGTGATGTCCTATAGCCGATAGAGACCTTTGTTGTATGCAGCATTCTTTAATTTGCAGTTATAGAACTGGACTGTTGCTGTATAAAAACAAGGGTTGTGATGCAAAGTTTTGCTGTGAACAGTGAATATAACTCCCTGTTGCCTTTTCCTTCGTAGGTGTGGGAATATATTCTATCCATTTCTCTTTGCTGGAAGCTGTATAATGTTTGTAGTATTTGCTTTACTACACATAGTTATGAATTTCATCTCTCCAATGTACATAAATTCAATAACTTTATATTTAAGGAAACTGAAATCCACTGTGTACTTGTGTAGTCGTATAACTACTGGCGATCTTATTCTGTTGGGTTACAGAAATCTAGTACTGGTGTTGATAGAATAATCCACGTTTAAAACACATTTTCCAAAACCATGCGTAATTTAGAAAAAAAAGCGTTTTAATCAACATCCCATATATTGTCGAATAAGAACTTCGGACATACATACTTCGTAAAACGACAAGCTGTAACGTTATATATACGTATAGAAATAGATAAGGATAAGAAGAGTACGGAATAGAGTTCATGGGGTGCACAGTGACTACTAGAGTAGCAGAAATCTATGCTTTGATCGAGACGCACCGATCGCATCCGTAATTTTCTATTGATGAGTTTGAGTGAGAACATGCCGGCAGGGCTATGCGCCTGCTGTGTGTGCTGCCCTCCTCTGATTGCGTGGGCGGTTGTCATGTTGGCTCCGTGAACGTCTGTCGTCTACTGACGGGAGCTGATGACCGTATGTCCAGTATCGATGTCATTTCAAACGCTTTGGTAATAAAACATGCAATATTTTTGCTGGTTACATTGCTGTTTTTGTCGTTTGTGAATAGTGCATACGCGTTCGCGCTCATGCGCACGCACCCCCTCCCTACCACCACCAGCACCCTGCGACACCCATGAGTACGAGGCCCTTGCTAGCTTATTGGTTATTGGTAGTTTATTAATATTATGAGGAGTGGATAGTAATAGACAATCTATTATTGTTCACTCCCGATATTATATAATGTAATATAACTTGGTTGGTTAAACGGTTGTTTATTAATTATATAATACCTGCAGGTATTAATATGTTCACAGTGCATTGTATGCGGTTGTTCACGAATGGCATGTACATAGTGAGTGCGATGTAAGAAAAAACCTCCAATCACCTTCAATGACTCATATTGCTGTTTTTATTTTATGCTATAAGTTATTTATGCTATATTATAATATATATATATTATATTTTTACTTATGCTATATTATAATCAACCAGTGTAACGCCGTTTTGCTTAGCGCTGTATTTTTTTAGGATTCTTACATAGGCTATGCAATACTAGTACGTGGTATAACGTTGTATATAGTGCTGACGGTGTTTCACCTGGTAGCTGGCATGCACCTCTTGCTGAGAATGCGAATTTATGCGTTTCAGTGAAATTACTGCTTTAAGTCACTGCTGCAACGTTGATGGTGGTGCTGAGAAGGCTGAACCCGTAGTATCTGGCTTGTTTTGTGGCTAGACTTACAATAATTATCCCGAGCCGTATACAAGAGAGAATTAGAAGAAGGAAGAAAGTTGCGTTTGGAAGAGGGGTGGCCGTTATGACACATAAAAGCAATAGAAAAAGAAATGAAAGTGAGGAAACAGGCCTCTCCCTCCCTACTGCCTCTCCTCTTCCTCTCTCTCTCTCTATCCCTCTACCACCCTCCCTCCCTCCCTCCCTCTTCTTCCCACCCATTCTTTTCCTCTCCCTTTCTCTATGTCTGTTTTTTTCTCTCTTCCTCACCCAAGCTCGCTCTCCATTCGCTATCCCCCTCTTTCCCCTCCTTTACTCCCTTTCTTTGGGGAAATACTACATTTATTACTAAGTAAGATCATTTACCAATTCATCATTACTAGCAACACATTAATAAGTAAACGTGAAATTTCATAATTATTAAATCACAATTATTATTATTTACTTAATTTCTTAATTAATATTACATTAATAAGTAAACGTAATAAAGGAATAAACGTAATTTCTGATAGCAACCGCTAATTCCCGCCAGTGTGAACGCGCCTAACAAGTGCTTGCTGCCACATCGGGCGCAAATCTCATCAAGTGTACACGCAACCGATTACTCGCACAATGGAGATGCCAAACCAGCGCCTGGACTCGTTATAAGTGCGCTGATGGTGTGCTGTATCATATGAGAGGATGTGTCGGAGCCAATGCAAATCTCGGTTTTTGCATCGCGATCGAAATCTCGAGATTTTTACAAGTGTGAACGCAAAAATCTCACTACGTATCGCGATCAGCATCGCGCTGCAAATCGCACTTTAGACTGCGATATTTGGGAATTAGCGCGATTAATTGCACCGCGGCGTGTGTGTGAACGCTCGCGCAAATAATCCCGGTATTTTCTATCCCATCATACGATGTGTTTACGTAAATACGTGCAGACGTAGAGTAGCGTACGTTAACGTAACAGAGCTAGAGTAGCATACGTTATGGCCCTGTCACACATTGACGATTTAGCCAGCGTATGCCGGACGTATCAAAAATTTGGTGA